GTAGTATCCTTAATGTCAAGTTCACTGGGATATATGAGATGTAAGTATTGGCTGAAATATGGGTTATTCAATGATAGGACATCATCAATATATCTGAAAGTAAGATTAAAGAATTTCGCAAGGTGCTTTTTCTTTTTGTCTTTTAGATGGCCGTAACCTGGGATCGAAAAAACCTAAGTGTCTCGAATAATTCGACATTTTTCAAACAGTAAATTTACAGAAAATTAACATATCAATAAAGTTTCGTGTCAACACATATGTGATGACCACTGGACTGGTCAGATCATCGGAAACGAAACGTTAAGTTCACCATTAGTAGCATCGAGCCAGTGGTTGTAAAACCTCATCAAACATAACAGGCTTATAGTTTGGTACGCCAGACGCGCGTTTCGTCTACATTAGACTAAAAAGTGGCGATGAACGAGTTCATTATTGAATGAATTGATATTTTGAAATGACCATCAACTAATCATTAATGATTAATGCTCAGGCAATGTTTCGTTTTAGATTTGCTATTTTTAAATTCCACAAAGGAAATGCATTATGACCAGTGTAGTAATAATTTGACACAGACAGTTCTTTTGATTTGAATTCCTATATATTAATAAGTTGTTGTGTGCATCTCAAATTTTGCAGATGGTAATGGGAAAATATATTACTTTAAAACACCTTCCTTACTTATATCGCCGTTGTATCATGAAACAGTTTATTTATTTAGCTGCAACAAAATTTATCATTAAATGCAAAACCAATCACATAAATGGACCCTTGTTTATGAAGATTTACTGTAACATACAACAATACGTTTCTTTAAAAATATCAAGCAATACGCATCCTAGCAGGACCATGTTTAACACGTGTGATCCGGAAGGGTACGAAAACAGTTCCTAATCCACAATGTTGTATATTACAGTAACTCATCATCAACAGGGTTCATTGTGAGACCGTTTTTTTTCAACAATGTAACGAGTGTCGCATGTGGATCAGGCTCTGCTCACCTTTCCAAAGCACCTGGGATTACTCCCGGTTTTAAGTGTTGTTCGTGTTGCTCATTACTTGGTTTTCTATGTTTGTGTTTTGTATACTTTTGTTTGTCTTTTCATCGTTTTTAGTTTTTTCCCATGGCATTGTCAGTTTGTGTTTGACTATCGAATTTGAATGTCCTTTCGGTATCTCTTGCCTCTCTTTGGCAAGAATTCAATAAAAGTTATATTGGAGGAATCTTCATTTATTAAAGGAAATAAAGGAATAAATGAATTATTGTTTTCATTAATAGGTCAACATGTTCAAGTTGTTTGCAAACTCTCATAAAGTTTGTTTTCGAGGAATGTTTTTGGAGGTTAAGACGGTTTTCCATCTGTATATGTGTGTGGGACGACACTATATCTTCTGAATAAAATGTTTTTTCGAACTAGTTTAATAAAAGCATATATGCTTTACAGTCGGTTATAGCTGGCAAGTACATACCCAAAACGAACTGTTACAGAATCTGTTGATCTCTTGCAAGTTGAATGAAAGTGTTTTTTTTAATCAATTTGATATAAAATGTAGTTGATCCTTTCAATGCTACTATACAATGTTACCACTGTAAACTGCAATGGTTGTCACCTGCTCGTCTTTTATACAAATTTGTGTTTGACGAAAACGTTTTGAAAATGTTCCATTTTTACTGAATATGCTAACGTGAGATGAGGAGGAAGATAGACTTTTCCAACATGTAGTGGCAAATATTAAAAACCTATCTAGCCGAGAACTGTTTACTCTTATCTGAATACGTATACGAAAAGAGAGAACGTCACATGATTGTACTAATACGTCTTTCATTTTCAAAACTAAAGCTTTCCTGATAACTCTTTATCAACTTCATATGCAGCAATTGTGATTTGCAGAATATCACTACAACCTTGTTGATGAAAATATATGGTTAATTGATAATCCCTTCTGAGAACTACTTCGAGAGTCAATTTCAATTATATATAAGCATCCGTTGTGACTTAATATAAATGTTTGTGTCCTTAACTTCGTCAAGTAAAGTAGACCTTGAAAATTGTTGCTAATATCTATACTAAAAATGGAGCAGGAAATTCTGACTTCTCTGTAACACCTGACCTCGTCCCCAGTTTTTGTTGTGTTGGGGTTACTCATTGGCCAAATAAACAGTCGCGTTGTTGTTGAGCGTTGTCTGTTTCTTCACATGTATGTTTAAATCTTTGGCTTTCTGAATGATGTGCTATGAGAGTTCTTAATAAAGCTTAATAAAACCAATGCTTTCAACGCAAGTTCTTTAGTTTGTTTACTTTAAATGTAAATAACTTTCATGAAAACCGAGATTAAGATTTGTTTTTATTTTCGAGGTCTTTTATAACTTACTATATTGTTTGGCTTTGCAATTTGACGACTGTTGTAATCGGTATTTGTAGTTTGTATATCCATGTCATTTGATTTTTGGTGGATGAATGTCTCATGTGCAATCTTACCACATGTCGTTTTTTTTTAATATAAGACACGATATACTACTTTTAAATATACAAAGTTAGAAGTAATTATCAAACAGAATAAGGTTCACGTGTTATACATTGACGTGTAGTTACTTACATTTTATACAAATAACACAGAAAAAAAAATTTAATTTTATTTATAGAATATTATCAAATTTCTAAAAATGTTTGTTTAATAACTATAACAAATCATGACATGAGAAGGCTTATAGCTAAATTTTCAGACATTGTCTTATGCGAACTCCGGCCAAATCGAACGAGCGGCTCTAAAGAGCATGTGTCACTCACCTGCATCTTCATGAATGGTAACCTTTTAGTAAAATCATCATAAAAGGGGAATAACTCTATTAAGAGTTAACTGACAATTTCAGTCATCTTGACATGTATGAAAATTATCCTGTTGATAATTTTTCCTTTTTAAAGTTTCTATTTATCTATTATAATTTTCAAGATAGTGGACAAAAATAAAATAAAAATGTTAAACATTTTTATTTAAGGCCAATAACTTAAATAATGAATCAATTTAAGATTTCGGCCATTATGGTACATTAGAAGATCTTGTCTTGCTGATCATTTTTGCTTTTTTTTCAATTTCATTTTATCTATTATAATTTTAAAGATATTAGGCGCATACGCAAAAGTTGGTAAAAAACATCATTAAAGGGCAAAAGTCTAATAAGGAGTCAACTGAAGATTTCGGCTATTTACTTGTTTGTAGATCTTGTCGTGCTAATCAATTTTGCTTTTTAAAGATTCTCTCTATCTGTAATAGTTTTTAAGATATAAGCCAATAACGCAAAACATTGGTTAAAATCGTCATTAAAGGGCAATAACTCTTATAAGGAGTCGTCTGACGATTTTGGTCATGTTTGACTTATTTGTAGATCTTCTCTTGTTCTCATTTTCAAAACTAAACTCTCTAATAATGATTGTGGCCAAGTTTGGTTAAATTTGACTCAGTAGTTTCAGAGGATATTTGTAAAAGTTGACGGACGACGGACGACGGACGCCAAGTGATGAGAAATTAATATCTTATATATCTTTTTAGGAATAAGAAATAAAGAAAAACAAGCTATATGGAGATAGCTGTTTCACTTTTAAAGTGTTATTGTATTTCACTCCCCAGAAGAAACAATCAGGTATATTTTAGAAATTATATGATATGGCTTCGAAAACACTAAATTTCAAATATAACACCCTCTTCCCAACAAGACAGCAGTAATTACATATAAAATGGGTTACATAAAAACATTAAAATAAGTGTGTAACACATGACTAAAATATAAACTGCGTTACATGAGAAACATTAAAAACTATAGTACACACGATAAAATGTCTTGTTTGCTTAACTTGATTGAACTTATGTTTGTATTATGAAGGTTTTACTACACTTTTCTTATAAACTTAATATTATCAATGATCGATAGCAATGAGGTCATGGTCATGTCAGGTCAGAACCTAGACAGACATGTACATCATACAATCATACCATACACCAAATCAAGTTAGCATCTGCGAAACAGGCCTAATAACGAAAACTGAACATTGACCAATGAACCATAAAAATCAGGTCAAGGTCAGATTAAACCTGGCAGACCACATCCATACACCAAATATAATTGACATATTGCTTATAGTATAGATAAACTTACAAAACGAGACAAATAATGACCAATGATCCATGAAAATCATGTCAAGATAAGATGAAACGTGCCAGACAGACAGGTACGCCTTACAATCAATTATATTCACCAAATGAAAATAGTGGCCCTATTGCTTTTTATGATTGTTGAATAGACAAATCCATAAAAACTAAACATTGACCAATGAACCATGGAAATGAGGTCAAAGTCCGATGAAACCTGCTAGTTCTACAAGTTCACCGTAAAATCATTCCTTACACCAAATAAAGATGTCCTATTGCTTATAATATCTGAGATACGGACTGGAACACGAGACTTAACCTTAATCACTAATCAACGAAATCGGTTCGATGTAAGTTTAACCCTGTCTGACAGACACCAAGATACCAAAGGCACAATCAAACTCATAATTCGAAAATAAAAAATAAACTGACAACGCCATGGCAAAAAATGAAAACGGCCAAAAGACAAACAACAGTATACAAAACACAACATAGAAAACTAAAGACTGAGCAAGAGGAAACCCACCAAAAACCGGTGTGGGGGAGGAGGATCTCAGGTGCCAAGGAAGGTAAGCAGATCCTGCTCCACAAGTGACACCCGTCGTGTTTCTCATGTACGGAAACACCCGGTGATAAGTCTAATTCGGCAGGTCACATTGTAAACAAGGTATGAAGCATCCAGGTCTTCTACCTTCTGAAATATATAGCTTTATACAAATAGTTTTACGCCGCCGCAACCAATGCCGCCGAATTACAATCCATATGTCTCGCATTCTGCTTCTTTCGTCGCAAGCGAGACAAAAACTATGTTACACATACAATGTAACTAAGATATAAGCTTTATTACTACTAGTAAATGAAAATCTTAAAATAACTACGAAACAAATAGCTAGAATGACCAACTCGATCGTCTCTTGGTAGCGTGATCTCATCGATTGTGAGAAGTCAAGAGTTGCATCTCTGGTGAAAACAAAATTTGAAAATCGATATTTGCAGCCTCTCTACTACACATGCGCCATTTAGAAGTAAAAGCTGTTTGACTCGGAGTAGGAATAATGTGTACCGACATGGTAACTTGTATTCCTGTGGACTAATCCTTGTGAACTTATTTAGCATACATAACGTATAATAACGTAATAAAACAAAATTGTCTTTTATTACCATTGAAAATTAATCCAAACAAAATATATATTAAACTTCATAGATTTTTTCCATGAGACATTGATTGTCGAAATGTGTTATGGTGCAGAAAAAAATGGTACCGTTTATGTTATAAGATTCCACCATCTTTCCTGTTGAGAGACACTTTGATATATTTGTCTAGTCGCTTTATTGTCCTATTTCTCAAAATATTTGAACTTTCATCTTAAACAACGCTAAATGGATCAGCTTTATACCTTAATAATAATTTGACGATTTCTCTGAATTGTTGGTGAAACAACATCGATATGTCGTCTAGGTATGAGATAAACAGTTTTTCCCAACCCATGAATACAATGTTTCTCCAAACCATAGACGTGATTATCACATAGTTACGTATAGCATGTGACGCTATATGCAATGGTGTATTCAAACTATTATCAACAGCGTTTGGATCCGCGTGATTTTGTAGGAGTAATCTAACAATTTCAACTTCACCAATATGTGTAGCCAAGTGCAAACACGTTTCGCCTTTGACATTGTTAATATTTGGATCAGCATTAAATTTCAACAGTATTTCAACAATATCATAAAAACATCTGTGTGTAGCAAGGATCAGTGGTGGGCCATTGTCATCATCATTATGGTTAGGATTTGCTCCATTAATTAATAACAAAGAAACAATTTCCGAAAATCCATTCACAGCTGCTGCCTGCAGCGGGGATACATTATAATTGTTACATAAATTTGGATCAGCCTTAAATTCGAAAAGCAAATTTACAATTTCTATGTATCCTTTTTCAGCTGCAGAAAATAATGGAGTTTCATTAAAACCATTTCCCAAATTTGGATTAGCTTCTCGCTCTAACAACAATTCAACTAAATCAATGAATCCACTTGATGATGCAATAAAAAGTGGAGTCATATTAAATGATGAATGCGGTTTTGTTAAGGGGCCTTTCAAGTAAATAAAAGAAAGCCAATTCATATCCACTACATGTTTTGCACACAAATTATCGAATAACCCTCCATTCTCTAAAAGTAGTGCGCACGCAAACTGGTGTAAGTCATCTTGAAGCGCATCATTTGATGTTTTCATTTCATTCATTTCGTTACGCGGATTATATTTTCCTTCCACATGTGTATACATATTAGGGTTCAATCCCTTTTCTAATAATAATCCTGCTGATAAAATGCTGTTATTCAGACAAGCAACAAAAAGTGCAGATTCATCATACACAGACAATATAATAGGATCACATTCAAAATCTATCAGTAATTGTACAATCTTCGCGTTGTCAAGAAAGCAGGCAGCATGTAATGGGGTATTATTATTTCTACTGTTAATATTAATATCACACTTGTGTTCTAGCAAAAAACTGACAATTTCTGTATGACCTAACAATGATGCAAAGAAGAGTGGTGTATGGCCATAGTCAGTACGAATGTCTATGCTGCACTTGGAATTTATCAATAATTTTACCATTTCAATGTCGTCATTTAGACATGCCATGTGGAGCGGCGATATCTTTTTGTTGTCACATAGATCAGGATGAGCAGCTTTATTCAATAATAATTCGACAGTTTCAATATAGTCACTATCAGTAGCAAGAAACAGAGGGGATCGACCATTTTTGTCAAGAACATTTACATTAAATCCAATATCAATCAGTGAGTGTACAAGATAGTTGAATCCCTGATTTGCAACTGTAAGTAATGGTGACGATTCTTTTTCTGATAAAGATAAAATGTTGTTTCGCAAATCCTCGTTATTTTCCAGGTGTTTCAAAAGGTTTTGTTGATAGGACGTATAAGTTATCTGAATGTTGGTGAACACATTTTCTATATGACCATCACGAATGTCATTTGAAATTCTGTCAAAATATGCGTCTTCCTTATTCGCAGCAACAAGAATGATACCTTCGGACTCGTCTGCATTAAATGACTGGAACTGGAATCGGTCACGTATTATATCTGTATGTGCGACTTTGAGACAGAGATCAAAATGTTTGTTACCGCAAAACAAAACCAGGATGTCAAAAATCTTGTCGTGTAGTATACAATAAGAGTTTTCAAATTTCTTTACAAAACTGTCGATGAGCTTATTCAATTGTAATTTTACAACATTGATTGACAAAACAGACGAAATTTCAAAATGATCAGATAAATCCAGTAAAATATTTCTTATTTCTACCTTCCGACTGAAAATGTTTTCGTCTATGCAGTTATTATAGATAACAAATAAAAATAGTGTTGCAAAAGTTGTTTGATCAGTTTCGTTCATTAGAGATTCTAGTTCTATATTAATTGCTTCAATAGGATCAGAAAAATACACTTCTACATCGCTTGACTCTTTTGATGAATACAACTGACATAAAAGAGGAAAGAAGTCGTATTTCGTAAATATGTTTGATTTCTGTAAAACTGTTACTTCCTTTGCCGATAGGTAAACCTCTGCGATGAGAGATCTTTCTTTCTCAGACAACGCATATTTTGGGGATGTTATGTCAACATGAACTTCAGAAAGAAGTTTTACTTTAGAAAAGCATCTATCTTTGAAAATATAATTTCTGCATGAACTTAATATTTTTACGTATTTGCTACTTAAAATAACTTGGATCGCATTTGATAGTACACACCAGTTGTCTACCATTTGAAGGTTTATGGCATATTTACCACATATATCATCATAAACAAATACTTGTTTGCACTCTGGATTATAGTACTGTATAATTTCACCTGGAAAATTAACTGGAACGATAACATAATCCTCTTTATCGCGTAGCTGAAGAGCAGCATGGTGTATCGCGATCGATTTTCCACATCCTGGCGGACCTATAACTGTCAAGACGTGTTCGTCGTGGAGAAGTTCTAATATACGTTGGAAAGCTTTGGTTTGAACAACCTTTTCGTCAATACGGGACCATTCTTCTAATAGACTGTTATGTACAACTGTAGAGATGTAAAACAATAGTAAAATAATTGAATTCAGCCACCAAGCACAACTTCATTTTAAGAAATATCAATAAATCATTTTCTTGATTAAATAGTATACATTGATTGCGTCTTTATCTATACCTAATGAACATTATGTATTTGGTAGCTGATTGTACTTTAATCAAGAATGTAGTGATAATAATAGTTTTTAAAGACAAACATTTCTTCCATCTTTAAGATAGAGTAAATTTTACTATGTTTTTTTTTATGATTATTTTTAGAATTTCTAATCAGAAGAAATAATTTTTAAACAAATGTATTACTGCCTTTGCAAGTAAACGTCGTAAACTGCAGACAGGGAAATGCATCATTGTGACTTTGAGACAAAGAACAGCGGTAAAAGCGCTCAATAAGAAATCATTACATTTGCTTTTAAGTTTACATGTGTGTGCGGATAGTGATCTTGTACATGTTGTAAATGTTACTGGATAATATTGATAAGATCAAAATGGAAGAAATATTCTAGAATATTATTTCCACTGTTCATGATGAAATCCAAAAGAACTTCTGTCAGGAGGAAAAAATATACGTTGACATGATTTTGTGACATGAATTGATGTTCTTTTCTTTTCCATTGTTAGCTGATAAAGATATTGCTAACTGGACGAAGTAAAATTGCCCATAATAATAGCTTTATATAATTTATAACAATTTCTCGTGAATTTTAGACATAATGTTCGAAACTTCGTGTTTAGTGACAACTTCATGTTTTTATGGTAAATCAATATCAATACGGCTATATTTATGTAATAGTTATACACCGAGGATAGGTGTGTCTGGATAAGAAACCCCGTCGGCCGGAGGCCGGAGGGGTTTCTTATCCAGACACGCCGTATCCCGAGGTGTATAACTAACTTAAACCCCATTCTAAACCCTATATTTGTTAACATTGATTATTAAATGAAAAAAAAACGATAGCATATTTAGTGACAATATCGAACCATGATTTATAAGAATATTTTTTGTATTACATGAAACCCCACTAGTAACCTTTCTTTGGTTATCTTCGTTCAAACTTTGACAAGTGAGTATATTTTACAAATGTCAAGTTGTTTTGCATATTCCCGTTAAATCCATGTGCTATTATGGATCCGCAGGTCAAGGTTGTATGTTTCGTGTATTCTTATTACAAACAAAAAATACATCATGCTCCTGGTATACAGTTGTCAATATGGACGGGTATAAGACGGACGACATTTTGTGGCAAGCGTTGGATTTGGTAGAAGCGACTAAAGATAAAGGCAATATTATAACCCAAAGTACTTACCTGTATCAGTTTAATAAACAGATAAAGGTAATCATAACTGTATTTTATATCTTACGATTTTATCAAAATCAAAATCAAAAGCCCCTCCCCCCTCTTCTCGAGAATAAACAAACATTCATATTCGAACATACTAAGGGATAGATAGGTGTGTCTGCATTAGAAACCCGACTACCAGACACGCTCAACATACAATATTTAATATTGCGGAACTCCCTTTTTTGGGGCAGTCAGGGGCTGATCCAACCGGGGGTTCCAAACTCAAGAGAAAAAGGGGGGTCCAACCATTCAAATGCATTGATCTTTTAAATAAAAGTCGGGTCCAACCCGCGGAACCCCAACCCCGGATCAGCCACTGGGTAACCGGGTGGGGGGGTCCGGGAGTTAGAATCCCATTTTTTTTAAAGATCAATACTTTAAAATAGAGACATATGACTGGGATAAAAAAAAATTACCTTCAAGCAAAAGAGTATTTAAAGGATTATTTTTGTATTCAATATAGATGCTTATTGGAATTTCCTAAAATGTGTTTGTTTAATATCATGAAACAATTTGTAGTGAACACTATTAGTAATTCCTTATGTTCATGCTATTTAAAAAATAATCAATTTCTATTGTTACGAATATCAATGGACTTTGTTTGCGGGATGTAGAAGCAGGGGTTTCCAGAAACCCCGCTCGTCACACCCTGTGGTCAAAATCCATTGTTATTCGTAACAATAGATCTATTCAATTTACACTTGTTTCAGAAATAGAAACTATGAAGTATAACAATAGGACTGGGGTGTAACAAAATGTAATCATATTTTGACACGATATATCAATATATTCTGTTCTTGGTACAGTCTTACTTTTATTCCATGAGATTATCTTAGTATTTGTTTGTTACCTTGAATCAATTTATGAGATTTGAACATCTGTAAACTACTGTTGTGAAGAAAAAAATACCTGTTGCTCCTTTCGGGATTTCGCTTCTTATATTTCTAAGTTCTATCAAAATTTCCTTGTCATGACCATCAAGATTACAGACTTTCAAATCAGCACACAATTGTGTGTAATTTTGTCCTCCGAGGAGTGTTATAGCCTATAAAATATAAGTATTTCGTAATGTGGAACACTTTTAAGTTAAAAACTATACAGAAAATGTCATTACCTGCAAATTACAAAATATCCTTTTAAATCTCTTCTCACTTGTTTTGCAGTTAATTGTATAGATTACACATATAAACTGCATGTAGAAAAATCTTTAAAAACGTCTTATGGAGCCTCTGACGTTTAAAACATAATTAACCATTTTCAGTTTCAGTTTCAAAAGTTTACTTAAGAATTTTATTTTCATAAAATGACAGAACTTGTAATTAATGCTAGAAAGTTAAAATAATTTACCTGACCAACTTCTTTCCAGCAGTGATGAAATTGTTGTTCTGTCAGGGTTCCACTATCGTTATGAGCAATCTCATTTCGATAAAATTTGATTCTTGCCAAAGCTGCCCCTTCAGTCGTATCAGTTGATACTGGAAGGTTGTCTTGGATATTAATGTTTGACAAATTCCGGAGTAAGCATGTCATAAGAGTTACATCAAAAGTAGAAGAGGCAGCTATACCTGAAAGTACATTATCTTTTATGCATGTCCTTTACCAGCTGGTAGCATGGTAAAGAATAGTCCCGTTTATGACCACTTTATAGTTACTTGATGATGATGATGATGATGATGATGATGATGATGATGATGATGATGATGATGATGATGATGATGATGATGATGATGATGATGATGATGATGATGATGATGATGATGATGATGATGATGATGATGATGATGATGACGATGATGATGATGATGACTGCCTAACGTCCAGCGGCAAATTAATATGCATATTCCGGACGAGAACATGTTAATTTAATATGAATATAAACCCTGCATTGTACTAGGCGGACACACTGAGCCGGAATTTTGACGTGCTAGTTCACAAGGTAACAGTCCGCAGGAAGACATGTCATCTTACCCGGACACATTATTCTGACTCCGAGCCAACCAGTCTTTGCTCTTACTCCTTAATGCCGTATGCTTAGCGGAGAAGCAGCCAATACCAATTTTGAAGTCTTTAGTTTGACCCGGCCGAGGTTCGAACCAACGACCTCCGGCACTCGAGGCGAACACGTATAGTTACTTGAAGTGTACTTGATACGATCAATGAATGTTAGCCTTTTAATTGTAAAGCAGCTACTAGCTCATGATAAAATACATCTAGAATATAATCAAACATTCAAAACAGTTAGCGAGATGGTCAATATATTTTTTTTTCTCCTTTGTTTTAAATAAACAGTTTTCAAGCATACATGTTAGTGGATAAAACATACTTTTTATTTAGTACACTTAACCGGTTCGTCTCCATAAGACTCATCAGCTGCTCTCGAATCGAACAATAGGAAAGCCAAAACAATAACGAAGTAGAAAAACAACCATAGAAAGAAAACATCGTCACAAACTAATCTGATATAAAAAAGGCTGGTATAGTAGAGAATGAGCAGTAATAGATTTACACTTCATGAATTAACAAAAAATAATGTATCGAATTTCATTATCGATGTAAAAAACAAATAAAAGATAAAGTACCGAATATATATTAATAGAAAAAAGTATTAGCAAAAATACCAAACTCCAATGTAAATTCAAAAAGGGGGAAGGTCGTAAAACCTGACAAAATCAGATATAGGACTATATTTACCAACGGAATGAATGGAAAAATAAAGGCAACAGAACAACTGTCATATTCCCGACTTGAAACAGACATTTTACGAGGAAAATAGTGAAATAAATCTGGATTTATGGCTAGGTAAACCTCCTACTTGTATGAAAGTTGTTTATAGTTTCGTAATATTGCAAACATTGACAGAGCAACCCAAAACACATAACAGGTTAATGTGACAATAATCGGGATCCAGCAGCAAACTGTGTAATCATACGTAGAGCGTTCCAAAATATATATCATGAGGAAAACTTACATACCAGACAAAGCAAAAGCATCGACTCCTGTCCCCACCCACCTCAAAATACAATATTTTAATCGAGCTCCCATTAAAATCAGAAGTGTTAGAATAGGAAAATCATGCATTTATAATGTGTTGTTGCATGCTACTGTCACGATCGAAATTTTTTGAATTGAATTGATTCGAAAATAACATTTTATATATCGGTCTTATTTATTGTTATATATTTTATGAATCACGAATCATCTTTATAACAAACTCAAAGTTAACGTCCTAAACTAATTAAAAATATGCCTGAGATTGGGAAAAGTAAGTTCCATTGTGTTTGGTTGATTATCCTCTTCTTCGTCAGATCTTGAATTTTCGCTTTCTTTTGATTAAGAACCGTCTGCAATCCTGATGGATAAAATTCCTTATCAAACTTTACTCTGACAGCTTTAGGTGCTACTTTGAACAGCAAATTTGCAATACGAAGATAATAGGTTTCTTCTGCACTTATTGCTGTTGCCATTTCTGAAAAAGAGCACCCTAATGATATTTAGGACAACGGACATGATCAAAATGTGGTTTAACAAACAGGTGTTGTCTATTAGCTGTTAAACCAAGAGTTCCAAGAATCATCCGTTCTTGAATTTTACGGACGCCATTACGAGTTGGTTGACCGTTATGGAATATCTGTTTCACAGATGACGACGGATATGTTCCAAAGGTCGTAACTACAATCCCGAATTAAACTTATCGTGGAGCAAGATCTGCTTACCCTTACAGAGCACATGAGATCACCCCGGTGTTTGGTGGGGTTCGTGTTGCTCAGTCTTTTGTTTTCTTTGTTTTGTTTTGTTTACTGTTGTTTGTCTTTTGGTCTTTTTCCTTTTTGCCATTGCGTTAACAGTTTATTTTCGACTTATGAGTTTGAATGTCCCTTTCGTATCTCTCCCTTCTCTTTTAAATAAATGTTTACCTTTGACAATTGAGAGTCACGAATCGAGAATTGATATTTAAATAAGTGAATATCTGAAATGTATGAATTAATTTATTTATTTACTCTGTACATCTTTTTTTTAACATTGCTTCTAATAAATATAAAACTGTTGTGAGTGAATGTCTTTACACCTATTTCTAACATGATTATTGGTTGTTTTTAAGGATATTTGGTTTTTGCTTTTTGCATAACAACAAGTGACAAGTTATTCATTTCGATTGATTGATTGACTTGGCTGATTAATTGCTTGACAGTTTGCATAACGTAAAGAGATCCATATTTCGTATTGATTGATTGTTTGTGTGATGTCCAGTGACAAATATTTAACGCACTAAGACTTTCTTTACTCGGAGAATGTTAAATGCTCACCCTCCTAACAATTCAGAGGCAGGGGAGGGGAGGGGCTTCTTCTTCAATTAAATACATGGGACCGGGTCTCTAGGAATAAACAAAAAGGGTGAGGGTATGGGTCCCTTTAAATTACACGTTTTAGATTCAGTGCAACATTTTATTTTGTATTTAAATAATAATATTTCTGAGAATACGCAAGGATTTAACACCCCTCCAGTTTTCCACTTCTTCAAAATATCCTTCAATGTTCCTTTGTGAGTAAAAATGTATGATAAAACATTGTTTTGGCCCTCTGAATTAGAAGATAAAAGATCATTAAAAATCAGAAAAATAACCTGCTTACCATCTTCATAAAGACATTAAACTAGCATTCATCAGTATTTACATTTTTGAATTCTGTTTACAGTTTTGAATTAATGCTTCAAACTACAAATAGTGCCAAAATAGCCTCATTTTTATATCTTGTCATCAAATATTTAGATGTGAGCCATGGCTATACACAAAATGATATTTTGCTACAAGATGCGTTTTACGAAACGCGCGTCTGGCGAAAATACAAAATTTCAATCCTGGTATCTATGATGAGTTTTTTTTACAAGGATGTAAATGTGAGTAAAATATTTTGTCGTGTATGTCCTTTGCTCTTATCTCTTTTGATCAAAAACTACGTGTGTAATAGCAATTTTAGGTCAAATATGTAAATTTTAACATGTTTATTAAGGCATAGCAACATTACAGGTGACATTTATGCACTAAGTCTCCATATTATATCAGCCTGATCAAAGTTAATATAATTTTAAGAGGTTTTAGGATGTACTTAGGTCAGGTTGAGGAATTTTTGTCAGATGTTCAGACTCCTTGGTTTTTTTCCTACGATACAGGGTAAAATATTTTGCCCCATAACACCCATTTTTCTTTTCATATAAGTCTTCAATAGCTTATAAAAAGTCATGTACCAAAATTTAAGCAGATTCTAGATTTCTTTTCTTTCGTTTTGAGACCCAAATAATATCAATGTAAATATAAGGTAAAAGTCCGAGTCAGCCTTTTCCAGCCATTTTTTAAAATTAAATATCTCGAAAAAGAGCTCCATAACCTATCAATATTTTTAGCTTATTTGTTCCTTAACTAATGCTCGTCTGACTTATAGTATCAATTTTAAATTCTAGATTTTTTTAAATTTCACCTAAGTACATCCTTAAGAAGTTTAAATAATTGTACTATTTTTATGAATTTCAGAGACCATATAATTACTCTTAATATACCTTCTCTATTAAATGGGAACATACATTGATTTAACCACCCCTACAAAAATATATCCCTGCATCTTGCTTTATAATTTCTTTTCTAGGGATCCCGGAATTTATGATTTATATCGTCGTTGTAAGTGCATTTTGTTTTCACTTGAAGGGAAATCGGATCTTGATCTTTACTTTTGTATTATTACGTTGTACTTTTCTAATTATATTTGAATTTGAAAATTCCCTTGTATGTTTTTTTTCGTTTGTTCAAAGAAAGCGTTTTATGTTTTTTTCGAGGAACTGGTCTCCACCCTGTCTTTTATTCTTAACTTCTTTTTTCTAAGTGAAGCCTTTAATATTTGTGACTGTACCTCAAAATCAAATCATACATACAACCAACCAACCAACAAATCGTGTTCAAAAAATGTGATTGAACCTACATTTAGATTTGTTTGCGAAAACAATGGTTTTATGTTTTCTAAAGCAATATTAATAAAGCTTTAATTGCATCGATATAATAAAAATTAAATTCATGCTTTTGAGATGATTCCTAAAATAAATATCTTAATCCTCGATTCTCGTCTATCAGTTTTCAACGGTAAAAATTTATTTGAAATGTCTCTACTAAATATGAAAGATTTTGCAGTCGTTATTTGTTACTCAAATGCACATTTTACTGATAACGCATTCTATTTTGACTAACTATATATATATATATAGCTATTTATAATCAATACAAACGATTTATCATATTTCACCTATAGTCTCCAGGTAGAAAAATAGCAGTTTCTGTGTTAGAAAAATAGCAGTTTCTGTGTTTAACACCACGAGTTTTTATACTTTATTACAACAGCAGTTAAGACAACAACCGAGAATAGCTAGTTTGGTCATGTTTTTTTCTCATTGACCAAGCTTTCCCTTACAAAATGAAAAATATTTTAAGGTAAATTATCCACGGACTTACTATATGAAGGTCACTGCTCATACGTGTTCCTGATTTGATTTTTAGAAAATATCCAAACTTACATATATTTTTCAATAACAGAAGTGCTTCACAAAAAGGTAACTAACCTACCTTAACGAAACTGATTTCTCCCTAACCTTCTGTCACATTGTATTGTAATCTTTATGCTATATTCTAGAGATCACATTAGTCATGTTCAGGGTTGTATTGATTCTCATGAATCTATATTTGTATTATACTGACAGACTTTAAAAACGCAACATACGTCTTCTGGTGCATTTTTTACCAAATCATGATTAATCTTTACATTTTTTACTTTCAATTCAGAAGTTAAACACTTACTATGAGAAATGGAACTTGACCGTCAATCTTGATAAGACAAAAGCAATGATATTTAATAAATGTGGTAAAAAGGTTTATTCTGAATAATGAATTAATTGAATGTTGCACATAATACAAATAGTTAGGTACATTATGCAAGCCATCAGGAATTTTCACTAATGCTGAACATCTCCTTTGTAAAAAAGCTTTATAGGCATTATTTTGTATAAACAAAATGCTTTATTCAGATACGATAGATGTTTTTTTCCCATATGAAACTTTTTGATTTTTGTGTTAGCCCAATATTACTGTATTGTAGTGAGATATGGTCACTAAATATTGTGAAAAAACAACAAAACTCTTGAATCTCAATATTTATCAAAGGAATCAGTCAAACTCCAAATCAAATTTGCAAAAAAATCTACTTGGGTTAAATTCAAAGGCAGTAAATACAGCTGTATTAGCTATAGCTGAATTGGGAATGTACCCTACTGGTATACAGGCCCTAAAGTCGTCTGTAAGATTTTAGTTGCATATTTTGAACTCAAATAAAAAAGAGTCTTTATTATATACTGTTTATAAAGTTAACAAGCAGTTAAATGATGGATTTTCTTCAAAAATTAAAATGCTACTATCTAAATTGAATTTCACTTATGTTTTGGAAAATCAATGTGCCTTTTCTATAAACCGATTAC